GTGTTCCCCCCCTGCATCCCCCTGTGGTCAAGGGAGGGGGGCTTTGGATCCCCTGTGGTCCGGGGGGGGCTTTGGATCCCCTGTGGTTCCCCCTGGGTCCCCTCTGTGGTCTGGGGGGGCTTTGGATCCCCTCTGTGGTCCAGGGGGGGCTCTTTGGATCCCCTCTGCAGTCCAGGGGGGGCTCTGTGGATCCCCTGCGGTCCCCTCTGCGGTCCAGGGGGGGCTGTTTGGATCCCCCTGTGGTCCGAGGGTGGGGGGGTGCTTTGGCACTCAGCTGGGTTTTAGGAAGGTGCGGGAGAGAGCAGCATCACGTCACTCGTTGTGGTGTCTCACCGTGATCCACAGAGCCTTTTCCCTCGGGGGGGGGCCGGGGTTTTCCTGGAGCATCCAGATGACGGTGTTCGCCATGATCATCGGCGCCTTCGTGGCCGCCAGGTGAGCTTCCCCGGTGGCCCTCCGGTCTCTGCGGTGTCCCGGCGGAGGGGAATCCCCTACCCCCGCTACGGCCCGAGAGGAGGGGAAGCGCTGACTTCTTCTCCTCAGAGGCGCTCTCGAATAGGAAAGAATCTTTTACCCACCCAAATCCCGCTCCTTCTTCCAGTGATTAATTTTTTTCTGACAACTTTCCTGGCGAAACGGGTGGCGGAAGGAATCTCGCCAGGGTTGCACTCTGCGCAACTTAAAGCGTTTAATTTATGGGGTTGTGTTGTTGTGTGGTTTTTTGTTTTTTGTTTTTTTTTTTTCCTTTCCCAGTGCTGACTTGGCATTCGATCTGGAAGGATATATTTTTATCCTTATTAACGATGCCTTAACAGCTGCAAACGGTGCCTACGTGAAACAGAAGCTGGATTCGAAGGTAGGCTCAACGTGGGGCTCCTTCTTGTAATCCCAAGCACAGCTCCAGGCTGGGGGGGGAAATGGCTGGAGAGCGGCCCTGAGGAGAAGGCCCTGGGGGTGCTGGTGGGTGAGAAGCTCAACATGAGCTCAACATGGGTCCCACCAGCAGAAGGACACGGAGCTGTTGGAGCGGGGCCAGAGGAGGCCCCGGAGATGCTGGGAGGGCTGGAGCCCCTCTGCTGGGAGGACAGGCTGGGAGAGTTGGGGGGGTTCAGCCTGGAGAAGAGAAGGC